TTACACAGACGGATTGACACAGGCAGCTCCTGCATCTCGGTAGGTCCTTTTGTTGTCATACAGAACATGTGAGATAACACTTCACGCTGTGCCTTTTCAGCGATCCATCATCGGTGTCTTGGCTGAGATTTCCAGCTTTTCTCAGACTCATGTCAAAACCGCTGACGAGATCATTTCTAAATCACAACAGGAGACATTGTTACCTGCAGTTCACCTATGTCGTGTCTTTACAATCTGAAGATATTAGAGCGCTTTCATTTCAAAAGTTATTTGTGATTTGTTGTGCCAGTGAATTTTTTTTTTTTTAACACTGAGTAATTGAATTTAGAATGACTTGAATATGGCTTTCACCCAAATCTGGTGTAACTGATGATATACTCACTCAAAGGAACTGCCATCCTTAACTCATTACTATAATTAGAATGAATATTTCATTATTATGATGTGTTATATAATAGTTAATGGACTGTAAGTAGCCCATATGGTGTTGATCTGCAGCCAAGAAAGAACATTTGAATATACTTCCACAGTACATTTAGCACACACTATTCTCTAAAATGGCCTCTTATCTTATGCAATCTCTTATATATATGTTTCTGAGAAGCAGGTGGGGCTCGAAGTGAAGCTCTGAGGAAAAAGTAGTATGACATTTTGACAGATGGAAGGTCTAGTAAATGATCTTTCCACTAACTTCACATAGAAAAGCAATGCTTTTAGACTCAATGGATTCAAACAAAAACATGACGTTTGCAGACGCAGAGGATGATAAAGCTGTGAGGAAACTAGTTCTCCTCTTTCTGACATTGAGAAGAAGCAAAGCAACCATTTTATCTGGAAAAGCTACAAGACCCACACCCCCTCCCCCCCCAAATACTTGAAGTTTTTGTTTCCCTCTCTCTCTCACGCTGGCACCCTTTCTGAAGCTCCTCATCTCCCCTCTTTCTCTCTTGCAGTTTCTAATTAATGAACACATTTTCTCTTCCTGCTGGCAGACCACACTCATTCCACTTCGATAAAATGACTCTCTGCAGCCTTAAAATAGATATGAAAACAGCATTTAAACCAGGGGTTGATGAAAATAAAACAACAAGCTGAACTGTAGTAGATGCATGGTGCAGTTCACTCTTTCTCTAAACCACTAGTTGTGCTTATCACAGCCCCAAATCAAAAAGCCTCATCACATGTTCACACGGATGCATGCTCGGACTTGTACACACGCCTATGACTCTCTCCATGGGAAACAGAGCCATGATGAAAGTAGCATCTGCTCAAAGCATGACTCATTTGACTCTGAGGTGAAGTTGACTTGTGACGCAATAAGCGAGCAATCTCCACCTTTAAAAATACACCTGACAGAAGAACTGAGTCGTGGCTTATAATGACGTACGGCATAAATGGGGGATTTTTTTTATTTGAGATTGATTCTTTAACTATTTTTAAAGTTTGAATTGTGTTAAGGCAGGCATATCTCTTACAGTGTATAAAGAGGCATGGTCCACCACAGTGAGAATGAGTAATGCGTCTCTGGATAAATAAATAAATCATTTATTAAAAGGCAATGTATTGTGGGCCTGCTGGGTCTTACCCTTCATGCTCCATGCTTCCCCGTCTTTTTTTAAAATGGCCCCCGTTATTAATGCACCACTATAAGCCTGCATGTCCTTGGGTGAGAGCGATAGAGAGAGAGAGAGAGAGAGAGAGAGAGAGAGAGTCTTCTGTCCGTGAAAAGTGTGATTGTTGTTGTGTGAAATAAATTACTCAGTGATGTACGTGAGAAGGTGAAAGATGAGGGTGTGAGAGCATGTGTGCTAAAAACTTCAGTGACTCCACGGCATTCTGCTTTTCATGGCTTTTTAAGTGCACAAAGTCTGTCATAAAGAAAGACTCAAAGCACAAGAATGAGGGTTTCCCATCTTTCGGAGCAGATGCTGCGCACTTAACGTCAGACAAAACTGCACAGCTAATTAGCAATTAGTGACACATGGGAATTTAAGGTCAATGCAGCATTTTAGGACCTGCAATCTGCTCCAATCTACATATAACAGTTAGCTCCATTTATTCATTGAAATGTGTTGTGTTTAGATTTGATGTAATCACAGATATTAACCTAACAAGCCCTGTCCTCTACTGTCCATATGGCTCGGCTTCATATACCTTGAGACAATTTAAATGAGAGAGAGAGTTGGCTTTTTATAGCAAGGTTCAGCTGCTTCACTTCTGATGTCTTGAATTAAACCATTGAAGGAAATGTTGCAAATCAATGAGAAATATGGCTTAAAGCCAATATTGGATTTTTTGAGGATTGTGTATCAATTTTATGAAGTACCTTGATTTATAGTGTATTCAATTAGTTGGAACATCTTGAAATGGCATAATAGTGCTGCTTTCTTGCTCGGTTGGGAGCAGTCACAACAAGAGGCACTCAAGGGGTCGAGACCAAGATATCGTCCTAAATTGAATTTGGTCAACTCCCTGTTTCCAGTCTATGCTAAGCTAAAGTGACTTGCTACCAGCGATAGCTCAGTGTTTACTGTATAATTAATGACAGAGGCATCGATCTTCTTATCTAATTCTCGTCTCATTATGCATATTCTAAGGAAAATCTAATTATTGCTTTAATGCTGGTAACCATTCTACCATTCTGTTGTCTGGTTCTTTATAAATCCTTGGTACCATCCTTAATCCCTGTGACCCCCTCTGCATGTGTTTGGGTGGGGGTACGCCTGTGGTCTGCTTGCAGGATGTGTGTGTAAGTAGCCAGATTGTGAAGTTACTGCCCGGGTGAGTCTGGGCCTGGATTACAGGAACAGAGGGGCGATATGAGCCTTCTGCCACTGGGAGTCTGGGGAGGATGACAGTGAGTGTGTGTGTGTGTGTGTGTGTGTGTGTGTGTGTGTGTGTGTGATGCAGATGAACAGACGGAAGGGGACCACAGAGACCGCTGACTCTGAAGCTGCCTAACATCGCAGTGGGAGTAAAACTGAGTAATGAAGACTGTGAAAATCTACAAATTCAGATGTATTCACCACACACACACACACACACACACACACACACACACACACACACACACACACACACACACACACACACACACACACACACACACACACACACACACACACACACACACACACACACACACACACACACACACACAACACACACACACACACACAACCCACACACACACACACACACACACACACACACACACACACACACAACACACACACACACACACACACACACACACACACACACACACACACACGGCTGTAGAGAAACATCTGCAGGGAGAGTAGGCTCTGCTAATAGGTGACAATAGACTCATCACACAGAATTAACACAATGTGTGCAGTCATCTAATACCCTGTGTGGGCCGCTGTCTACTTCCAATCTGATCTAATGAGCTCCTGATTAAAACTGAGAACTCTGTTAAAAGCAAAACAATCATGCTTTTGAGGAATAGCAACACTCCTATTTGTGGCTTTTATCTTCTCAGCAGGCATCTCAAATGTCAGTGTGACATGAACGATGATATAAATAACTAATGGCAGCATACATGACCTATAAATACAATACGAGACTCCATTGTATCACCATATTATGTCCCAGCTGTTTGATGTGCACTCATCACTTCCTGTCCTCACAAACTGCCAGCTTAGTCTCAGTTATGCAGGTCCAACATGTAACTAATAGATTAAATATCCACACTAGCTGACCTTCACGAGACACACTATTATCAACGTCACAATTGACACATTAATCCCATCCATTTCAGTGAAGATTGCCTGTAATTATGAGGTAAGGTGCAAACTGGGAGCAAGCAAGGCCATTTGGACATTGGTGGACTGAAGAACAAGGGGAGGAGAGAGAAGCGTGTGTGTGTGTGTGTGTGTGTGTGTGTGTGTGTGTGTGTGTGTGTGTGTCAGGCTCCGGGTGTCCTGCTCTGTGAAGCTTGAAGCTGACTCTCAGTGTTACTGTGACTCACTCTTAGAAACAGGACAACCTCCCTCACACTCTGGAGCTCCCAGCCCACACCGGAAACACACGTCACTCAAAGCCTTGGGGTAAGAGAAGGTTGCCGGGAAGAATCTGTCCATACATTGGTCCATCAATATCTCCTCGGTGACCCATGGCCCTCAATGTTGGCCTCTGAACTCACTCATAGTCTGAAATACTGGAAGCAAAACAACCAAAGATGCTACAATGTGTGGGATGGGATGAGGAGTAACCTTGAACTGAATATCTTCTCATGTATGACATCTACAAATAACAAACGATTCAGCATTGGAAAGGGAAGACGTGATTTCATTCACCACTGATATCCCGCAGTAGAAGATAAATGCGTTTAGAGGGCGCTGCGGTCATGGCTTGCCGCTGATGGTAGGAGCGGATTTCCGCCAAGGAGCACTTAACGATTGCATAACATCGTCGTGCGCGTCGGAGTTCCCACTGTTGGTTGGCCGAAAGAAACACTGATTTAAAACCGTGCTTCATTTAGGGCAACAACCTGCGCAGTACAAGTGTGAGCGGCTGCCATGAGCTGCGACTCTGGTGCCTCTGTTTTCTGTGCAGAATGTCATCTGAAGGGTACCGGGAGGAACTGACGTCCCCGGCATCACCACCATCACCGTGTCGTGCCACCTGCCTCCCAGGCGGCCGCACAGAAAAATGCCTTTGAATAATCGTCGTGGTTTTCAGGAATGCATTAAAAAAAACACATTAAAAAAAAACAGCAACGTTGTTTTGCTGCAGTGCAAAACACGAGTAATAAATTATTCTACTGCTGCAACGCTGCACCATCTTTGCAGTGGAGTACATTTCAGCACTAGGACAGCGATGGGAGATTTAGAGGCAGCAGATGGAGCTGAGCTGCAGCGGATTGATACATGAGGGCAACACGATGTATCCATTTACAACCAAATTCCACCATCCAAACGCCACTCCACTACAACGTGACACCACAAACATGGAGATCTGATGATGCCTCTTACCTGAGTGGCTTTGTGGAATTGCTTCTTCAGCCCCGCTACAGACATGGTTGCTACACGGTGGTTCTAGCTGGGGATATGAACTGGATGCTTCAGGTGCGTAAAGGGAGGAAATCTCGGTGCTACTTGTATCTGGTGATGATCTTGCAGCCGTGGCTAACCCCTGTCTACGCGGTGCTTCAGCAGAGGGATCTCCTGTGAGAAAAGGGGGATGAGTAAAGCCCGGATCAGGCTATTGGATGTCGGATCCACATGTCCATGAGGGCGCTGACGTCGGAGCAGCTCCTCTTAAAGCGGCCGTTCCTCTCACCACGGCTGGGACTGTAGAGGGACTTATTGCTAATGTCACATCGTTTATTAAAAAGACAAAAACAGATTGGGTGAAAGCGATACAAATTGAATTTAAATCACTGGGGTTTTATAACCAGTTGGAATCTAACTAAGTAGGCTACATACAAGTACTATACTTAAAGGTGGGGTAGGTAATTTTGGAGAAACCAGCGCTAGAATTTGAAAATACACAACCGGAAAAAATCTGCCACTTCCTTATAGAGCCCCTCCTCCAACACACACGAACGCGCACATGACCAATGAGGGCACGAGATAAGTTTGTGCACAGATGGAAGGCTGACAGGCAGGTAGGCCATCCAGTTATTTTAGCCGGGCCGGTTAAAATGATTGGTCGTGCTTTTTACAGTATTACGGCTTCCACAGATTACATTTTTTTATGGATTTTTTGTCAAAGCACTTAAGATATTCATTGCTATCGGGATGTTAAGAGCATTCCATGGAATATAACAAAAAGTGTATCTCGAGCCGGTTTCTCAAACTTACCTACCCCACCTTTAAGAGCATTCCATGGAATATAACAAAAACTGTTTCTGAAATAAATTACATACCCCACCTTTAAGTACAGTACTACTGTGTCATAGTTGTACTTTATTTGAGTATTTATTTGTTATGTTATACATATATAAACACATTTACTTTTTACTCTTCTTCACTTATTTAACAATCGTAGCTAGTAGATTATTTTTACATAAAAACACATTGTTTAAAAAAACGTTCTATGATATAATACTGTAGCCTACTACTAATATCATCAGTATTTTAACAGTTACATTCTCTTTTGTATTGCATGTATTTATAAGCAATAGAACAATTGAAAAAAAAAAAATAATACATTACAAAGAGACACTGTGCATATTGGGCATATTGGGCACTTTTACTTTTAATACTTTAAGAACATTTAGCTGATAATACTTTTGTATTTTGACTCATAAGATTCTGAATTGAGGATTATAAATTTTCATGTAATATTTTAAGACCAAACTTTTGGATTCAACAATTTTTAAGTACAAGTATTCAGAATTAGAATATTGTATTTATCCCGGGGGGTGATTAGGTACAATTAGCATCAACATGCCCTTTAAGTACAAGTAGGATGGAATAATGCAGACAATTGAACATTACTAATCCTTAATATAAAGGTTGGTACATTTGTTGGGTATAGACTAAAATGTTACTTGCCCATTGCATCATGATACTCTGGGCTACCATCACCTTGGAAAGAAAAAAATAAGAGAGACTCAAATACACAAACACGTTTTATAGTTCCAGCTTGCCTCTCTTATACGAGACTCAGTGAGTTGTAAAAAGGAACCTGCAGCAGCTCCTCTTAAGCACCCTGGACAGCGCCCATCAACAGAGAGACCTACGTCCCTTTCCACACTTAATAACTATCTTTCCTCCCATTGCATCAGTAAAATTGCCTCTACATGGCAAAATATAATAATAATATTATTATATTTTCAGCATTTTTGCACCTGTATCCACGGTGTGTTCATATATTATATGACCGTGGATACAGGTGCAAACATGCTGATTTAAAAACTGAAATATTTACACACAGGTGTTGAAAATACAAAGCCATGGGACATGAAGATATGCAATCAAACTCTAAGAAAGATGAACGAATTACCTCAGTTTGGTCAAATGAGAATAAAATACATATAAAACACACATTCAGGCTACTTTTTTCATCCCTTTGTTTCTTTACAACAATGTATAAAATATCATAGGAAGGTTATTAACATACATTATTAAGTGAATTCATGTTGACATTAAAAGTTCATTTTTGAGTCTGGAAAAGTTAGAAGGTTTTCTGGAGCTTTTGGTTGTTTCATCCTCAAGAGATGCCCAGTTATGATGGTTGTAGATGCTCACATTTCCAAATCACTTGATAAATAATGCTCCTTGTGTTGACATTGTTTTTTTCTTTTGCTGCATGTGGAAAACAAAGACAGCGTTCCACCTTTTACATGTAAGAAAAGTATTTTACTGTCCAAATCATATGTGGGAATGAGTTAATCAACATGTATGATGATGACATTTTGCCTTTCCTATTATCACCAGCAATCAGTCAACTAAGATGATGCCAACTGGTGCATAATGGCACAACATGCAGCTTTCATGATACTACTATATATTGCAAGCAAAGGACAGATACCTGCTTTATTTAACACATAAATAAAGCAGTTTGTCGACATTGATATATAGATATTACAGATACAGATTTTAGATTTTAAAGTGTTATTTACACTACACTAAGTGTTACTTAAAGAGTTTAAGTATATTGTTTACGTATATACTGTACTTCAGCTAGAATGTATCGATTCTACTTTTTCGGTCACTCAATTAAATCAGAGTCAACAACATATCCTATGTCCGATTAGATTAAAAGCCTGCAGCACTAATGCGAATTGTGGCCCTGAATTAAAGCTAAGAAGTCACCTGCACTACACATGTATCAGCTGAGCCCCTCGACGCCAGATGGCCGCAGAGTAGAAGGAGGACTTGGGCAGAGAGTCAAAGACGCTCCCATATGGCCACTGTTACAGCCTTAAAAAACACTCTGTGACAATCAGGAAATGGGCGAATAAATCCTAGATGTGGCTGTATCTGCGGCTTAAAAATGTCCAAAGAAAGAGGTTAAATATTCAGGATGCTTCCTTGTTGGAAAAACACTCAAATTACATGTATATAAGGATATGCTGTGAACTGATATACGTTCATATTTTACCTTTCAATAATTGTCAAGCGTTTAAATACTGCTCGTTTTTTGATCTCGGTGAATAGTTGCCATGTGTTGACACTGACAGGCAATATGTCTGCACATCAATTAGGTGGCGTAAGTAATGTTTGCAGTGTGCCTCTGTGGGAGGTGTTTGTCCTCACCATTGAACCACAGACTGGGTGTAAGCACTACAGAAAAGCGTATCAACTGCTTTGGTGCAATCCAAACAGTACAAGGGGTGTGTGTGTGTTTAATATCAACAGTCAAACACAAATGCAAACCTCTGTAAAGGTATTTGTCTGTGCTGCGAGTATTGTGCTCCTCGCGTGCAGCAATAGCATCACTGCAGCTTATTTTCTGCATTGTATCTTTTTTCGCTTTTGTTTTTATCTATATTGGGTTTAATTCTGTATTTGTGCAGTGATCAAATTCCACAACAGCAGATCATTTAAGGCGGTGCTGGTGAGAAATGAGGAGAAACATTTAGTATGTCAGTGGCGCCATCTTGTGGAAGAAATACGTAATTATCTATCTACGTATCTATCCATCCATCCATTTTTTTATATCTATCGATCATACCAGGACAAATGGTTATTTAAAAAAAAAATTGAAATCAAAAGGAAATCCTCAAAATGGATAGCCAATGAATGATTTAAACATTACTTGTATCACCAATGCATACATCTAGTATAAGAGATACCACCATAGGCAAAAACACTACTTTTATGGGTTGAAAAGCTCATAACATAATTATTGAGAATTTAGAAATTCTAAGTTTTTGTGGTATTTAATGTGAGAAGCTATACATATTTGTTTTTAAATGTTATAGTGTTAAATGCTCTGCAACATGCTTGTTTTGTCAGTCACGATCTACAATGCTTTGCCTCCACCTAGTGGTAGGAAATGATGCAGCAGTAGTGATGCATTTATGTGTAACAGGGTTGAAACTACCATGCAGCTCATGTGATTACAGTGAGTTGACTATCAGATGAGACCAGCTCCTCAGATAAGGATAAGGGTGTATCATCTGAAATATTTTAGGAGCACCCTAAGCACCAGACGTTTGTTTTGTGTGAGCAGCTCTCATTGGCTAACAGAGGAGGTAGGAGTGATACATCAGGGCTGACAGGGACCTGAGTGCAGCTCTCTGCTCAGTTTCCCTGCTCTGATAGAGTGTCTGGTCCCACGGCTCAGTGGTCTGTGTGGTCTCCATTTGTCTTTCCTCCTGAGGCGATAAATCTCACCTGTACGTACAGACAGATGAAGGCTTCGAGTGAAATATGAGATTTGTTGCCATTAACTTTATTACACCGACTACTGTTCTTTTCTTCTGTCATCAGCTCTGACTGAAGGTTGGAACAGGAGGAGTTTACTGACTCGCTCCTTGTTTCAACAGAGCAAAGGGGGATGTGTTTAACATGACACTAATATTTATAAACAAACCAAAAGTTGTTTTTTGGTTCCTTTACTTATTGTAATAATATCTTTTTTTCTGCTGCCATTTAAATGTGATGCTAGCTTAAAGTCATGCTTTAAAGCGTTTTCTAGATATCTTCTATACTAGCTGAGATAAATATTCCTCACTTTAAGACCCTAATTGAAAGATCTCATAGAAATATCTAAGAAAATCATAATCAGGATTACTTTAGCCACTAATAAAATCACAATGAATCATTGATTTTGGAAACATCCTGCAATTTGGAAAGAGATGATGGTACAATCATTAAATGCACCAATCTTGTCCACTTTAAGAAAAACAGAAACGAGAACTATTAAAACATTGTGCTCTAGTAAAATGTAATCATAAACATCAGTTGTATAAATACTGTAGTGATAACACAGCAAAAATAATACACAAGACAAAAGGAGAGAATTATTTTGAAACGAAAAGTGGCAAAAATAATTGATTCATCTCGATAATTGTGTTTTTCCATAATCGGTGATAGCCAAAATAGTAATTATTAAAAACAATTTGATTAATCGCCCAGCCCCAATTTAAAATGCAGACAGATATATAGAATGGATGAGCTCCCATGACACAACTTTTATCCGTGCCAAAGTAAAGAGCTGGTTATTTTTTGCCTAAACAAGCAAGAGTCTGTAATA